CGCTCTCCGGCATCCTCCTCCTTTGCCTCTAGAATGGCTTTATTCCTCTCCAGGGATTCCTTTCCCACGCACAGTTCTTGCTCACTTCTTTCTAGGGCTCTCTCCCTTTCATTATGGTCGGATATGGTCCTATGGAGATTATTAAAGCGCAGGGAGCGCTAATATCAGCTGCCAAGGCAGAAACACACGCTGCAAGCGCGGTAACCGTTGCTGACCAAGCCATATTGTAGTAACCTTGCAGATCTGTTCAACGAACAATTTCCGAGGGCGTCGGGAACAACTTTGAGGGCGTGTCTGGTGGATTACCTAGGTAGGAAGCAGGTAACCAGCGGCTGCGCCCATTCTCCTTCTGCAAAAGGTAATATATTAGTTCCTGCCTTATACGGCAAGAGGGGCAAAAGGCAGCGTAAACAACATCTTAGGCTCGAGCTGTAAAAGAGCGAAGGCCGCAAAAGAGGACACAAAAGTACCAGCTAGTAACAGCTTGGTGTAGTCACGAAACAGCCGGACATGGGTATAAGGGGGATATGTGAACGGACTGTAGAGTCCGGTGTCCCTTGCAGCTAATCTGCGGTATCGCCATCAAAGGGAGCCTTGGCTGAAGGGTTGAAGGCGAAGAGCGAGAACTCAGTTATGCGCAGTTGAAGGGTGAGCTTTGCAGGTCCTCATGTAAGTAACGGAATGAGGCTTGATTGGCAGATATTCGGTGGGACTATCATCATGATGATCTTGAAGACTTCTTGGATGTAAGGCAACTGGTTAACAGACGTGTCTATGGTTGTCTGTTCGTGAGGTGGCAGAAGGAAGTTCAAGTTTGTAAGTAGTTAGGGTGGTTGGCTGAAGGATGGAGATCCATCCATGGATTCACCTGGGCACCTGGGCAGCTAGTCTGTCACGTGAAAACGTGGATGTTTATATAATCAATTGGCTAGTCACTTCTTGGCAGTAATGTGACTTCGGCATCAACGACGGGTTTGCTGGCTTCGTTCTCGTCGTCGCTGAACGGGGGCTTTTGATACTCCGTACTCGTCGCTGTTGAAGGACCCGGAGTTTCGTATGATTCTTGTCTTTTGATATACTGGATTATAACCTTTCCCCTTTCCTGCTCTGTTTGATGTTTTTTGCTGAAAGGTGGCTGAGTGGTTTATGCCCTAGGAGATCATCAAGCGCTGAATAGGGAGTGGCTTCTCCTGGATATCCAAGTATTGTATTTTGGGAGGCATTCGGCTGCAATCAACAAATATACCCAGGCTTCAACATAGTAATATCCTGATAGGAGCAGAATTGTTGAGAAATGTCTTCCACAGGCGGCTCTCGGATGCATTTCTCTTCCTTGCCGGATTTTGCTGCTAGATTTCTGGGATGGCCCATCTCATGTTGCGGTTTTTGCACGGCCTAGCTTAAGTTACTTGCTAGATTTCTGTCCTCTTCTCTTTCATTAATTCCCATCCGGGATTTTCAAGCAAACTCGGCAGGTCTCTTCATGTGGCATGAGAATCACTTCGCCACTCAAGAGATTCCCAGGGTTTTCCGGGCATCATTGTTTTATCCGTGATCCGTAGAGTTTGGAGGCACAACGCCATTGTGGATTAATCGTTGGGGATGGTAGGGGATATCATGCGGGTGCTTTTTCGTTAAAGAAGTTATCATGAGGTGGTATGCTTCCTTTTAATGGAGTCCAGGTGTTTATATCCGCCGCGATATCCTTATGTCAATGGATATCTGTCGATTCAACTCCCAGACCATAAAGCTATGAGTTCGTCTTCGTTTCACCATATTCCTTTGTTATATGGCTACTCGTCACCAGCACTGCGTAAAAGTGCGAACTCTCGCTGGTGTAGCTAGGCTTGCCAGACCTAACCAACCTCTTTAATAGAGGATTTCTTAACCGTTAGGGGGATCCCTCCAAGGTACCGGTGCCCCATTCACCGGTAGGAGGGCCGTCGCCCCTATCCACGGTTCTGCTGGACGTCCCTGCGGATGGACGTCTGCCGCCTCTGCTCTAGCCGGAGCAATGTATCCCTTTCTTCAAGGGCTTCCTCCCACTCGCTGATGGTTTTCATTGCGCGGGTGGCCTCCTCGCACACCCGGCGGCTTTCGGCACTTAGGCGTATGCTCGCCTCATTCCGCTGGGAGACTGCTATCTCCCGCTGCAGGAGCACTCTCTCGCGGCCCGTTAGCTCCCTTCTTTCGATGTAGACGTCGGACCACTGGCTCGCAAGCTCCTGCTCCCAGCCTACAATCTTCTCCTCCCGTTCCTCCAGCTCCTTATTCTTCTCCTTTTCCTTCTTCTTCTCCATTTCTGCACGCCATGCTCGAAACTCGGAAGAGACAGCGCACGCGGCGATAACGCCAGTCCCGACGGCAGCAAATGCAGCAATCCACGACATAGTCTTAGAATTAAAAACAATTCCTGGTGTTATGCACTAACTGTAAGGACGCTGGCTAAGGACATTGATGGTCCGTTGTCTGATAGGGAATATAATGGCATATCTAAACACGAACTTAAGGAAACTGCGAATCCATTATTACATTCAACGGCGGCAGGCGCTCTGGGTGACTCCTTCCTGCAACATTTAATCCTCACATTTATGTCATTTTATCCCTCTCAACTTCATACGTCACTACCGCAAAGTCCAGCGTCTCTATACTCTCTAGGGATAGAAACTATTACATTCAAACTACTCGAATCCAATATGAGTATATTTCAATGATATGCAAATCAGTTACAATATTTCTTTTCCTTCAGGAACTTCACCACATTTGCGACTCACCACCGTCGTACCCGTCCAATTAGAGATCTCGAGTCTATAGACAGGCGCGAACTTCCTATGCACCCATTCTGGGATAAGATTGCACCAATACAGCCAGCGATTTACTCTCTGCTCTTCTCTTGAAAAAGACGCACCGATATTAGGCGTAAGCCTACTTTGCCCATATCCTGTCTCGGTTGGGGGAATGTATGGGTGGACGGGGACGTTCTGCAGATATTCTTCAAACTGCCACTCCCAGCCCACGTAAGCAGTAGGATTTTCCCTCCAAAAGTCCCGGCACCATTTGCTTCTCACTTTGTTATACCTTTCCCAATTAAAAATCTTGGTAGAAAAGGACTGGTTAAGCCACGTTGGCTCTAGTGGAGAATAGAGCCTTCCAATAGATCGACTGACCTTGAGTGCTAACCAAACCCGGCCATCGTTTCCAGGAGTAGAACTCGGCAAGTCGCAAGCTGTCACCACAGTTTTGCAATCAAAACACCTTGTGGAAGGATCTATCCATCCTGGGCGAGGCTCAGCGCCAGGCTTTCGAACGTATAGAAGACGTACTCCCGGTTGATTCGCACGCATATGTGGACAGAGTGCATAATTAAGGGTCTTAATAAGAGAATTAAAACCTGCAGGATCAACGTCTGCCCCTTGAGGGAATATGCGGAGATGATACTCTAGTGTGACCTCAGGCGAAGAAAATATCGTGGGAAGCCAATTAGTATCACAATCTCCTCTCTCTTGCGATACTAGCTTCTTGACGTCCGCAAAACTGAAATCACCGTGTATTCCCAAGTTAAGGCACTTCACAGTCATCATACAATAACGTACTGATGGCGGCTTGCTTAGTTGAAAGCTAGAAAAGGCTTCGGGACCATGAACAGCTAAACACCCTCGGCAGCAATGCTGTAACTCCCCGTTTCGCTCCAACATGCAAAGTCCCTTGAATCTTGATTCCTTGCTTGATAGGGTATCCTTAAGGGCATCAGAATAGAAGAATCGGGAACAGGTAAATCCTAAGGCAATCCTGTCGTTTTCGTTGTCCAGGTTCTTGACTACCATGGCCAGAAGTTCTGCTGGCAGTCTAAAGAGAGGACTATTGAATCCATTCAGTTTAGTACGGCTACGGGCCAGAAGGCGCTGGATGTGGCTCCGGTCGGTGGAAGAAGACATGAGCAGTGGCTGTAGAGGTGATAAACTGTAGATTTAAGAATAGATTATGGTTGATACCCTTTGGCTGAGTGTGTCTCTGTGTAGGTATTCTTGGGCGATGCGTAATTCGAATATTGGTGAAGGAAAGTGATAGGTAAATGAATTATCACACATTCAGTGAGATATAAATAGTCTCGTTCATCCCTTGCTTTGAGCTTTCTGCAGAGCTTGTTGCCTCGAGAGGCGGACAACATCGCCTGGGTCGAGCACTTTTATATCTATAAGTGCAATAAGGTTCTGATGCGATTGCCCCAGTAGTTAAAACGTTAGCAGCTATTTTATTGGAGAGATATAGAGTTTGATGTATGGCTCATTATATAATTGGCTACTTTTATTTGCCAAAATCAACCTTAAAGTCTATCGCGTCATTCATTCCGCCTGCACACAGTAGCAACTTGCCTCGACTTGGTGGTATGAAGTCACCGTCTGATGGTGTATAGTGCTTATCCTGATATTCGTCATAACCGTCGAGCCCGTTTGTGGCAATGTTGAATTGAAGATAGCTAAGAATAAACAGATAGAAGTAGCAAAGACAGAAATAAACCATGCATGAGACCGTGAGAATCGTCATCGTCCATCCATAATTCCAACTCAAAGCAATTTGCCAGTAAATCTCCTCGCCCGAAAATGAAAATCCCGGCCTGTGTAGGTTGAAGTATTAATGAAGATGAATTTTAAAAAAATATATATGCTAACGCTTTTTTTCTTTTACTTCTGTTCTATAAGGGCAGGGATGCCTTATTCAGAAGAGGATACGGGTCATAATCCGGGCTAAATGTTTCGTTAGTTAATGGAACTTGTTTTGAAGGAATAGTAATAGTTAGGTGCACATACATGAGAGGCCCTCTAGTTGGTCGTATAGATCTTTGATGTTTTCAGAGTCGACATTGCTGACGTCAGCCATCAGGTAGGCAACCTAGAAGTTCGTAGTGTTAGCAATTGACCGTTTGGTAATTACACAGGGAGAAAATAACGTACATCTCCTCTGCTGTCAGTCATCTGTTTATCAACATTGTGGTCACCGAGAATCTCGTTGACTAGAGCCAAGTTAGTCTTGAGGTAAAAGAAAATTGAAAGAAATTACGGTGGGGGGCCGCAAACCTTTTCGCAGCACACCGGGAACGTTGTTGTGGATGAAAATAACTCTAGCATGGTTTGGCTCGTCGATAGTCAAAGATCGAAGAGTGACCTCGGGCATGTTAACTGCACCAAGGGTGGTTCCCTCGTTGACGTATCTTATTAAAGCCTGTCCGACTTCGATGCCGATGGCACTCTGTGCCTCCTCAGTGCTGCCTCCAATATGAGGGGTGAGAATGATATTCTTCAGACTTCGCAGGTCACTTGCCCAGGGTGCTAGATCCTTGTTGAAGTAATCTCCGTTACCTCGGGGCTCGCTGGGGTACACGTCCAAGGCTGCACCGGCGATCTTCTCCGTACGCATGGCATGGATCAGGGCAGGGATGTCGACCACGCTCCCACGGCTAGCGTTGAGAAGATAGCTGCCATCTTTCATCTGCTCGAACTGTTGAGTGGAGAACATGTTTTTAGTCTCAGGTAGCTCCGGAACATGCAGGGTGACGAAGTCGGCTGTGTTGAGCAGCTGTTGCATCGTAGGCACCTGTCTGGCGGTCCCCATGGCCATGAGGTTGACTACATCGTAGTAAATGACCGTCATGCCCATGGCCTCTGCAAGGACAGAGAGCTGGGAGCCAATATGTCCGTATCCGATTATACCTTGAAAACACCATCAGTACAAAGAAGAAAAGGTAAAAAAGGGGGGGATCATACCAAGAACCTTCCCACGGACCTCCCAGCACTTATTGCTAAGCTTGTTCCAGGTTCCATTGTGCATTTCAAGCGATCGATCACCCAGTTGACGGGCAAGGGTGATGATCTCGGCAATCATCAGCTCAGCAACGCTGCGGGAATTGCTGAATGGAGAGTTAAACACCGCAATACCGTTGTTGGCGGCATACTGTAGATCGACCTGGTTCGTTCCGATACAGAAGCATCCGATGACCAGCAGATTGTGCGCTTCCTTGAGCACTCTCTCGGTCAGTTTGGTCTTGGATCGGATACCAATGACATGCACATCCCTGTAGTTCCGTAGTTCCGTCAGCCGTAAAATTCTCCGAACGTTTTTTTTTTTTTTTTGCGGGATCGGAGATAGATTTTGTGAGGGAAAAAAAAAAGAACGAACGAACGAAAGAAAGGAAAAGAGGAATAAGAAATATGAACTGACCTGATTTTCTCGATCAATTGGTCTTCTGGGAGCGATGACTTGAGGAATTCGACCTGGTAGCCCTGCTCGGAGAGCATGCTGCGGCCGGTGATGTTGACATTCTCGAGCAGCAGGACCTTGATATCCTTGGTAGCGAAGGGCTTGAGCAGCTTTGGGCGGGAGACGGAGGTCTGCCTGGCTGTTCGGGCATCGAAGCTGGAGAGAGGAGAGGGACGAGCTGCTGAGGGCGAGACAGACAGGTTCACGCTGGTAGAGACCTGGTCCGAGAGGTTGCGAGCGGCGCCGCTGATCTCTGTCGGAGGAGACATGGTGGGAGGGCTGTTTCCGGTGATGCTGATGGCGAGAGCAGAAGAAAAAGAAGAAGAAGAAGAAGAAGAAGAAGAGGCGGAGAAGAACAGGCCGGGACGAGGGACTGATGGGCTTTTTTATATCGCCAGCTAGCTAGCTGTCAGCGCATCCGCCGTGAGTTGTTCGCTGCGTGCATGAAGATGACTCTTATCGCTCAATTCCTGCTTGCTCCAGCTAAAAGCGGCCCCGCTGACTAAAAAAAGCTCGCTTCTTCGCCATCCCATTGTCTCTTATCTCTCGCGCATAAGAGCGAACCGGTTGGTGGGTGGGTAGAGAGGCAGAGGCTACTTTGAGCGACGCTGGCCTGCACGCGCCCTATGGCTTGATCTATAAAGGGCCCTGGATGTCTTGTATCTACTTCCCTCCGCCCGGCGTCGGGGGAGACCCCTGGCTGCTGACCAGGAACAAGCCGCTAGTTCATGCAGGCTGCGACTAACAATACTTTCGGTACTGTACTTTTTTGGCAGTTGTTTGTTACTTGTTCATTGTCCAGCATGGCACTAAGTATGTAGTCTGGCGAAATACATTGGTTAGACCTTCATGTTCTCGACGCCCTTGGCCAGGTCCGCCTTTGCCGCATCGGCTTTTCCTCCCTTGGCCTTGACCTTCTGCGAGGTGGTGTCCTTGGGCAGCTCCCTGACATATGGGAGGAACTCTGGGTTGCCGGGGATGTACTTGCGCAGGACCTCTGGCACAATGATACCCTAGGATATGTCAGAACAACGACACAAAGAGGTAGAACGCGGGAGGGGTAGGCGAAACTTACGTCTTCCTGCTGGTAGTTCTCCAGGATACAGCATAGGGCTCGCTCGGTGGCACACAGCGTGGCGTTGAGAGCGTGGCAGTAGTTCTTCTTGACGTCGGTAAGCTTCTTCGAGCCGAACCGGATGTCCAGCTCGCGGGTCTGATAATCGGTGCAGTTCGAGCAGGAGACGAGTTCCTTGTACTCTCCCTGGAAGGGGAACCATGCCTCCAGGTCCAGCTTCTTGGACGCAGCGTTGTTCAGGGCACCAGAGACGATGGCAATGACCTGGTAGGGGATCTTGAGCGACTTGTAGAATTCTTCAGATGTATCGATCATCTCATCAAAGGCCTTCCATGACTCCTCTGGCTTCGTTATCAGGAATTGCTCGATCTATGGTTGTTAGCCTTGATAGTCGTATCCAGGGAGCTCCAATGCATACCTTCTCGAACTGATGGACCCGGAAGATACCCCAGGCGTCTTTACCGTGGGCTCCAGCCTCCTTTCGGTAACAGGTACTGTATCCAGCATATCTATCGGAGTCAGCCACAACATATTCTGTAATAAATAGGAGGCTATAACCTACTTTATAGGAAGTTCCTTTTCCAAAATCCACTCTCCATCGTGCAAGGCGGACAAGGGCTGCTCAGACGTAGCAATCAAATACTTATCCGTGCTTGGATCTTCGCTCTCAGTAACCTTGTATAGTTCCTCATCGAACTGCTCCAGCTGCGCTGTCTTGGCCATGTAATTCCTCAACATGAAATGCGGTGGCTGATTGGGCTTATACCCCTTGTTAAACAGGAACTCAAGTCCATAGTTGACGAGCGCAAGGTTAAGGAACAGTCCATAGCCCGTCAGACAGTATCCTCTATGTCCTACGATCTTGACTCCTCGCTCTGGGTCATAACCATCAAGCCGGTAGAGCACTTCATGGTGGGAGAGACAGTCTCGCTTCTCGACCTTGACGTCTGGCGGCGCCCAGGTGCGGAGGACGGCGTTGTTGTCCTCGTTCTTGTCGACGGGGACAGAGTCGTCGACGTAGTTTCCGATTGTCTTCAGCCGGCGGTCCCGAAGCTGTTCGCATTGTACTGCTCGGTCCTCGATCGCTTTCTTCTCTTCTTCTAGCTTTGCCTTTTCCGCCAGCAGGTCTGTTGCATCCTCTTTATTCTATTGACCGTTTGTTAGCCATGTCCGTACACGTCCCCTACTGTATCTCTTCGCGAAGACCAACCCTCTTCTTCATGCCAATCTCCTTTTGTACGGCATTGATCCTTGATCCGACCTGGGTAGCCTCATACCGTGCTGTAGAAAAAGACGTTAGCCCACACAGTAATGCTATGAGTCAGTAGTTATCGAGCCAACATACTCCGGCGAGCATCCTCGTACAAGGCCACAACTTCGTCGACGAGCTCTTCAGAGGCGAACCGTCTTCTCTGACTCTCCTTGACCTTCTTCGGGTCTCCTCCTCGCTCGGGGATGAGGTCTGCAATGTCGAGCATCTTGACCTCTCTGCCGTACGCAGCTTTTCTATCTTTCTATCTTTAGTTATCGCAGTGCGGGGTGAAGTGCTGGCAACCAGCGTCAACAACCAGCAGGGCTGAACGAGAGACAAGGACTCTCTGCGAGCAGACACGGAGCAGAGACGAAATATGGGCTGCAGCGACTGCGACTGAGAGACTGTCGAGTGTCTCTTTCTTCGCTGCCCTGGCGGTCCTTTTTTTTTATTTTTTGTATGCCGAGAGAGAGTTGAAAAGTCGAGGAAAACTGGAGGGGTAAAAGTGCGGTTGGCGTGGCGTTTGGGCCGTGTCGATAAGCGCGGTAGACGATAACAGCTTTGATATCAAAGATAGCCGCACAGGGTGGGATAGACAGCAGATCAGCGGGATGGATATCAGACGAGTAGGTAAGAGATATAGAGGATAATTAGATATTACTGTTATTACCATAGAGAGGCATGAGGAAAGCATGGAAAAAAATGAGAAAAAAAAACATGACATAAAATAACATACACGCAGTGCTTGACCCCAATCCGTTCTAACGCTGGTCTATCAACCCATAGTCCCATGAAACGAAGGAAAAGAGATGAAGAGGAAGAAAAGGAAATAGAAGTAAGGAAAAGGGGGTATGCTCGTCATCATCAGCGTCAGCCACCAGCCCTGGCAGGGGAAGAAAAGGGGAAGAAAAAGAAGCATTAAATCCAGCCAGGGATAAAAGTAGAAGGGGGGTGTGTAAAAGAAAAGACAGCAAAGCAAGAAGAGAAGCCGAACCGACCGACCCGAGGAACAGAAGAAGAGTCAACGCAGAGATAAAAGGAACAAAGACAAGAGAAAGAGAAAAGAGAAAATGTGAAAGTGAAACAAAGGGTATAACCATGTTGCAGCCAGTAGATAGAGAGCCCAGTAGTTTCGTATCGAGGAGATGTCGATCGAGTGGTAGGAAAAGGTCGCGAGGATAAGCCGTGATCGTCACTGGTTTAGTTGACGGGTTGGATTTGTTTGTTCGTTGTTCAATCGTTTGATCGAGGATGGGGTGGAAGGTGACACGCCGAAGCTCAAGTAAGTCGCACCGTAAAGCCATCCGCCGCCTCACATCAATCGTGTATGACCCTGACCATCCCCAAACAAAGCAAGTAAAACGGGGAGGAAAGCAACGGCAGGGCAAGGCGAACGTCGGAAGATTGGAGGGACCCGCGGAGAGGTCTACATGACGAGACACTTGCCGTTGTTCGCTGGTTCGCTGGGCGTCTGAGACTTCTCGATCTCAGCAATCATCAGCTCAAAGGTGGAGGAGACGTTTGTGTCGTTGCGGGCGCTGGCTTCGGCCCAGGCGCAGTTGAAGCTCTCGGCCAACTTCTTGCCTTCTTCCGCAGAGACCGTTCGCACGTCTGCGGGGAGATCGCACTTGTTGCCGACGAGCACGAGAGGAACCCAGTCCTGGCCCTGGAAGCTGTTAGCATCCACTTATCACTATAACTGCTGAGAAAAAATATAAAGAGAAGAAGAAGAAAGACGCACGAGGTGGTTGAGGATCTTGTCGCGGATGACGGTGACCATCTCAAAGGACTGTCTGGAGGCGACAGAGTAGACGATCATGTAGCCATGGATGCCGATGAAGTGCTTCGAGTTGAGGATGCTGTACTCGTCCTGGCCCGCCGTGTCGACGATCTCGGTCATGTAGTCCTGGCCCTTGTGCTTGATGGTGCGGTTGAAGGTGTTCTCGATTGTCGGGTAGTAGTTCTCGACAAAGGTGCCCTCGACGAAGCGGACGGTCAGCGACGATTTGCCTGCCATCAGTTAGCCATCATGTATCTTGTCTTTTGTTTGTCCATTCTTTCTATATCAAGTCTGTGGTCTCTTGTATCTTTGTATCTTGTCTCTTGTCTCTGGCGTTGGGTTCACTCACCAACGGCCCGACTGCCCACTATGGCGACCTTGCGTTGTTTGGTAGCGACCATGGTGATGGGTAGAATCAGTAGCAGACAGCTGCACTCTGAGGATGGACAGCAGGGAGGATAAAGGAGGCGAAGGGGGCAGGATAAAGGCGCAGATGGAGATAAAGAAGAAGTAGAGAAGGCGAAGAAGAGAACAAGAAGAAGAAGAAGAGAAGAGAGAGAGAGAAAAGCAGGACGAGATATTTTTCTTGTGTTGTTAAGGTTTGTGTCTGGATCTCGAGCTCGGTCGAGTCTCTGCTTCGTATTTGCGGTTCCAGGCAAAAGGGACGGGGAAGAAGACGGAGAAGAAAAGAAAAGCAGGACGAAGCCGGCGAGATATAAGCCAACTAGATATTATACTCAAGAGAACTAACTACTGGCGGCAGCGGCTTTATATAACGTCTTCGAAATAAAGGCTGGGAAGATCCTTCTGGTAGCTGCTTCTGGCCTTTTTATGCTTGCTTTTGGCTTCTGCGATCTAGCCAGGATGCTGGGAAAGCTTGCATCTCGAGATGACGTTGAGTTCGTCCTGGCTCAATCCACGGCCTGCGGCGATGGCGGGCATGACACTTGTCTGCTTTGTATAGATTAATACGCACTCCCTTCTTTCAGACCACAACCCCCTTCTTCAACCCCTTCCCCCCTTCCCCCCTGCGGCACTTACTTCTGGCACCAGCGAGGAAGCGGTCGACCTGACGGAGCGTGGAGTTCGCTCGCGGGCCCCTGGCCGTTTGGATACCGGATGGCGGCCTTATACCAGCGGAATACATGGACAGCCCAACCCCGTAATATTCCACGTGAAAAAAACCCGGCGTCTGGGCCCTTTTTGCAAAGCAGGTCAAGGCCAGCACCAAGAAACTCCGCGGGCTGGCCACCGTTTTAAGGATAAGCAGCAACAGTTTAAGGCCATGCATAGCGTCTTGTTTGCTTCGCTCTGCCGCCTGAGACGAGACCGCCGAGGCTCTCCTAGGCCCCCTCCCCCCCGGGTGATGCCGTCCTGGGCCCTGGCATGCTCCCTCTGCCTCTCGCTTTTCCCTGGCTTCTCATTTTGAAGCGCTGCTATCCTTTTCTTCCACGCCTCGTTGCTTCTGTGATCTATCTACCGGTCAGTCCAGTTTGAAATAGCCTGCACAGGGATACAGGGAGCTCTTGAAACGCCCGTCAAGCTGGCGGCCCTCTCGCCGTATTTTCTCATTTCTCTCACCTTACTTTTCTCTCCCGCGTCTTTTTGCTTCCATTCTTCCATTGGTAGGTACATACATCGCAGAGCCTTGGCCGCCGCCTTCTTTCATGGACAACCAAAAAAATAAAAGAAAAATCCTGCTTTGACCTGTTCCCAGATGCTCGGATCAGATGAGATCTAAATAGACCGATAGATCGAGCCCAGTAGACAAACGCCTGGAAATCTAAAATCCTCTAGCCAGCGCTCATCAGTAAACTTGTCATAACTTGTGCTTGGGATGGGCATGCCTCGACTTCTCGCATCCTTTCCTCTTCCCCTCCCCCCCCCTTTTCCCGCTCTGCTTCCTGCTGCTCGTCTCCAGCCTGCAGCTCTTTGCTTGTACTTTGTTACATGCCCAGTTACACACCCGTGTAACTAAGTTACCTCTAACACCCCTCCTCCCTGCGTGATAATTACACAGCTAAGTTCGCGTCGCCTTCTAGAAGCCATCCCGAAGGATCGGCATTGGTCAGCTGAACGGCCCCAGAACCTGATCCACCGCCGTACATCCGCCTCGACTTATTTTGCGCGTCTCTTTGCCTTCCTGCGAGTTCGTTCGTTTTGGCTTCTGGTGCCTGTCTTTAGTCAGGTTTGTTTCGTGAACAGTGCAGGTGCAAGACCGGTGGCGTCTTATTGCGAAGGTGATCTGTCGTATCCGCACTGCGCGACGGCCGTCCAGCAACCGGAAGCGCCGTCGTGCATCCATCTGCCTGTCTTATCCCTATCCCTTCTGCGCATCCTTTTCCCGCTGAGGCAGTGGGAGAGTGGCTGTGAAGCGTAACCAAGGGATGGAACTGTTGGCCAACCGTGGATGCGAGTAGTAAAAGAAGAGGCGACGTTCGACCTGCTGCTTTGGGACGCTTCAGCCGCCTCACGTGAGCACTTCTTTCTCCAGCTCTGGCTCCATCCTCGGCCTTTGCTCTTCTTGCGCGCATCTTTCGACTCTGCATTATCGATCTTCTATTCGCTGCTCTGTCTTTTGAACGACACGGCTCGCCATGGCCTTGGTCCAAGCTGTCTATTCTCCCATTCGACGGACATGTGAACTCACAGGGCGTTTGCCACCGCCTTCTCGACCGTGTTGGCGCTTGAGGCCGTAGGTCAGCCACAGGATATACCCAGACACCCGTGGGATGCTGAGATGCGCACTCTCCGGACGCCCTCATCTCCAGTAATAATAAGCTACTACGTACTGAGAACGCAACAGTGGGATGGGCTGCTTTCTTCCGCTCGACCACCAGACCAAGACATGGCTGGGGTTCTCCTCCGCCTTTTACTCAAGTTGTCGTTGCAATTAGGGATAGGCTGTGGGGCGGCATAAGTTAACTACACTATATCAGCTACATACTTCACCCTTAAAGGGGTTATTATTATTATGATATGGCCCCCCTCCTCCTGTCCAGCATTGGCTTTCCACTTCTTCGTCATGGAGCTCCCACTCTCGCCAGCTAACCGGCTGTTAGGCAGAAAAGAATCTCCACCACAACTGCCATCTCCGAATCATGCTAACATTTTAACTGCTACTCCGTACACCTGCTAAACATCACCCTAATGTGGGCCAGCTGCCTCTTTGCATCCATCCCAACGACCCATTATTCAAGCAGTCAGATATCTGCACTCCAATTCCCCTTTCCTCCTTCCCCTTGCATTCATGTTATCCAAGAAAGATATATATTCGTCAGCGCTGGCGCCCCTCTTTCCGCGAACCCGGAAACACTAAAGACTAGGTGCCTGACATGCGACATATAGGAGGTCCCGCTGGTTCTTAACTTCTATTCGGATATGTGTTCGGAGAAAGCGGAACTTTAACTATCTGTTTATTATCCCACGGAGCTTCCCGGACTCTAGTCAAATTTAGCCGTTAGAAAATTTCCACCCTGGACGTTTAAAAGCAGTTGTTGATAAGACACCCTCACTCCGTCGGTAAGGGCCGTGGGAAATCTAATTTCACTTCAAACGCCTTGCAGGCATCTGAGACAGAGTGATGCTACTCTACCACTCTTAGTTATTGCTTGCTTTAACTTCAAATTCGTGGAGATATCTTCCAAAGAACGCCCTGTGTCGTCAGCACATATGCTACCAATATATTCGACGATCAACTCTCTTCAAAGATTGCCCTATTTGATGCTTAATGTTTGACGCTGTCTTCATCCTTTAGAACTCCTGGTGATCTCTTGGCTATCCTGGATACTAGGATTTAGAGTATGTCAAGCAACCATTCATCATCATTTCCACAGCACCACCAAGAGCTTTGAATGCCTTGGATATGCTTAAAAGAACGAAGCTTCGGTACTTAGACGTCTAACATGGAATCGGTGGACCATGCAGTTCGTTTGGCAGTTCTCGCACGTGACCCTTCGGAAGTTCCGATCATGTGATATTTTGGTCGATTATTCAGCAAGACAACTTTTTGCTATCCCGAGGTTCGTCCGATAAACGAGCAACAGCCTCAACCAAATGCCGTGATGTCCACAGTTGCGCATCTCGTTGGACAGTTGGACAGGCAGGGCAAGAGATGTGCAAAGGCTGGGATCCCGGGACTTTATGACGGATGGCTCAGGTTTCTCTAGGTTTTACTCCGTAACATTACACTAAATAAGAAAGTTCAAGCAGTAAGCTACGCTCGCCACCAGATATTAGTTATCTAATTAGTAAATAATATCTAGTAGTAAATACTTAATTATATATAGAGATACTTATAATATTAAATAATTAAAAGCTTAAAATTTTATTTTATTAAGCCTAATAGTTATAAATATAAAATTAGTACCTTATAGCTAGTAGTAATAGAAGTATTTTATAGCTACTTAGTCGCTATAATGGAGTATTATATATTAATAATATAGGCCTTAGGGGTATTAATATATAACTATACTATTATTAGTATAGTATTCTATAGATATAGGTCCTTTATATTAGTATTAATTTAAGAAGTATTTTCCCTAGATACTTTTCTTCCTTTCCTTATATATAGGCTTCTCTTACTTTAAGAAAGCTCTTTATTAGGTATCTAGTAATTAATATTAGATACCTAATAGTTAAACCGTTTTTTAGTACTCAATTTCTACTATAGATTTTATCTAGAGGTAGATAATTTTATTACCTTAAATATTTATCTCTAAGCTATATTATCTAGTCTATCTACCTAGATTTCTTTATAATATAACTCTTATTTTTACCTTTTATATTATTATTTAGATAAGGTAGCTTATTAGTATATAAATTAGCTAAAGTAGTAACTATAATATTACTATTATTATCCTTTAAAGAATTATTTAAATTATCTAAATCTAAATTAGAAGAGTCTTCTAATAAATCTAAATCTACTACTATATTTTTAAACTATATAGAGAAAATATCCTAATCTTTAAATTTTTTAGTAGAAGAAGAAGTTACCTTATGGGTTTATAATATTAAGCCTAAACTTAATTTTAGAGAATTAAAATAAATTTTCTTACTAATAGGGGTTTTAGTAGTTTTCTCCAAAATTTAATCAATTACTATATTATTATTAAGAGTAGAGGAGGGGGGGATAATAGTTAATAGTCTAGACTTAATACCTTTAGTATATAGTCTCTTAATTAGTATTATAGGGGTATTAATATAGTAGAAGTATTTAAGTTCTTTACTATAAGATAAAGCTTTAGCTATATATTTATCTACTAAGGAGTAAGACAAATACTTACGCTAGTATACTAGGTCTAAATTTAGGTACTATTTTAGAGGTAGTAGCTACTTAAGCTCCTAGTAAGTAGCTTAGCTATGATAAGTTAATAATAGGGGACTAGTAACCCCTATATTTATAAAAGCTAATAATTTAACTATTAATAGAGACTAGATAAGATACTTAAAGTAGATAAGTATTCTTCTAATAGGGGTTACTAGATATAGTATAGTAAATATTAAACTTAATAAAGCTCTATATTTTAGAGACTAAGTTGGATAGTAGGTAGTAATAAGTTTTAAATTAAATAGTAAAAATTCGATATTTAGTAAACTCTAGTAGAATTATAACTACTATACTAATAAAAGCTATATATAAGTTAATTATTCTAATTAATATATTAGCGTATATTTTACTATTTAGGTCCCTAAATTAAATATATAGAGACTTAGTCTAAGAAG